CAGTGGCCTAGCCAATCTCCAGACATTAATCAGATTGAAAATCTGTGGAGGGAGCTGAAAGATCGAGTTTCCAAACGTCAGCCACCAAACCTTAATGATTTGGAGAGGATCTGCCAAGAGGAGTGGGCCAAAATCCCTCCTGAGATGTGTGAAAACCTAGTGGCCAACTATAGGAAACTTCACACCTCTGTGATTACCAACAAGGGATTTGCCACCAAGTACCGCGTGAGCGGTGTGGTTTCTTGAACTGATGAGATCCACAGGAACATGGTGCCCGCAATACTCGCGCATGTGCTGTTTGTGTCGATCTCCGGCAAGATGGCGCCTGCTAATTTCTGCGCGCACTCTGTGCCTATATAAGGAACATATGACGCCCAGTAGCTATGCAACACCCCTTTTGAGAACGTCGTCTGATACGAAACGCGTTAAGGAGGAGCCTTGCTACATTGTGACGTCACACCGCCAGATCATGGAGGTCCGACGGCCATCTTGCTTTCCAAACTGGACCCCAGGTGTGTTTCTCCAGCCCAGAGGAGGGAATCTATCTGTGACCAGACCATTACACAGCGCAACCCTTTAAAGGGGACCTCTGATTGACCTCTTTAACATCCATGCTAACAGAGGAGGGGATTCCTCTACCAGGCTGTACTCCAAGAGATGGGAGAACCTCATGTTCATTTATATGATTAATGCGCATTAAGATTGCGCTTCTGGTGAGTTTGCAATCTTACTACTTATCGCACACCTCCAGATTACTATTATTTCAGAATTGGGGCCATTAAGATGTGCACTTGAATTTTGGAACTGCTCACATACTTCTATTGCTGAAATTTAACCTTGATTATTATCATCTTATCCTGCATATCTTTATGGGACTTTTCTTGTCATTTTGCATTATACATATTGATTTAATTTTAACCAGCTGTTGGCTTATTTTTGATTTATGTCACATTTATACATACATTTATACATACATTTATGTCAAATGTATACATAAATGTATTTATGTATACATTTTTTAATATCATTACCTAGTATGTACATATACTTTTAGCGCTGCACTATTTTTGTTCTTATGTATTAAGAGGATTTGTGGTTTCTTTTGGTGCTCTAGCTGCTTTTAAAATCGTAAGCGCTCGCTGATTCTCCACATTTTGTTTATAAATAGATACCAAACATGACATGCTTTAAAATTGTGCATGCCCCGTACAATGATGACAAACTGCATTCATATTTAATATCCATAGACAACGGTTTAAAAGCCTGTACAAGCTACCATTTTAGATTTACAGAGGAGGTCTAGTGCTAGAATTACTGCCCTTGAACTGACGTTCGCGGCGATGCCTCACATGCATGGTGCAACCGCTGTTTATATACTAACACAGGGTCAACGCTCGCTCACACAGGTGTGTGTACGGGGGTGCAAGAGTGTGTTTTTTTTTTTTTTTTTTTTTTTTTTTGATTTATTTTTACACTGTCCCTGTCATTTTTTTTTTTTATCACTTTTAATACTATGACAGGGAATGCAAATATCCCCTATAATTTCAATGGGCATTGTCATATACTGTATTCTTTTTTGAGAAATCTGGGGTTTATCAGACTCTAGATATCTCCTCTGCCTTACATTATCTAATCTCACCATGATCAGTGTGATCAGATGCTTTCCAAATTTACAAATGGCGCTGTTTATATCCTGCAAAACTGAAGCGATGAAATGCTCGTAGCTTCTGATTTCTTAGACTATAGAGATCATTGGCATCATTCCAGTCTCCAATCAGCTGTATGGTAATCTGGCTGAAACACCAGTTGCATTCTCAGGTTCTCCCGATGGCATGGGACTGCCTGAGAAGTTGTGGTAGGCGGCGGGGGAAGGGGGGCATCATCTCCCACTGCTTGTAAAAGCAGTCCTGCAGCTAATTAGCCACTAGGATTGCTTTTACATGAGACGATCGCCGGCTGAAAAAAAAAGATACCAGGATGATGCCTTCAGCTGTAGGAGTTATCCAGGTATAACCATTCAAAGTCCATTGATGTACCAGTACATCGCTGGTCCTTGTTGGGTATATATGCAATGTTCGTTTTTTTTTTTTGTTTTTTTTTTTATGCAGCCTGTGAGCTGAATGAAAAATAGATAAGAAATCTCTGGCACAAAAGTGTGTGGTCTGCCCACCATTGAAATATACCGCCCTCCATCTACCGACTTCTAATGGTGGGCACACATTAGGTTGCACGATGCCACATGTGCCAATTCAAAGATTGTACAAATGTCTACATAGTGGCATGGCATGCTTGAACAAAAATTGTCCACGTTTAAGTGGTACCCCATATGGAAAAAGGATGACACCAAGTCCCAAACTATCTTACCGCTGCTCCCCATTTAGTCTGGGCTTCCGGGGGGTTCCACGTGACTATCTTTTCCCTTGTAAATCCGGAATTTATATGTTTAGCCTGTTGCCCTTCACAGGTCTTATACTTCTTGACCCCATATCTGGCACGCTTGCTGTGGAGAAATTTTTTTAATGGAAGGCAGCCAGAAACATTAACGAGGGACTCATCAACGCAGATGTTTTGCTGGGGAGTATGACATTTGCAAATTTTTGGTTAAGGTGATTTACAAGGGGCCGAATTTTGTGGAGCCGGTCAATTTTAGGGTCACCTCAAGGGCGATAGAGTGTTTTGTTGTTGAAATGCATAAAACACATTATACTCTCATATCTATGCCTGGCCACAGCAGCAGAGAACACGGCATATGATGAATCTGATCACAAAAATGCGGTTAACCCAAACTAAACAATCAAAATAATGCTATGTCTCCCTACATGCAAAAAGTTCCACTTTCTCCCCCGAAAGTTCAAAAAGTTAAAGTAACAGTCTCTTGGCATCTGTGATAATCCTCAAATTAATAAATATATGTGCTCCCAAAAATTAATCGACCTTCATGGAGGCATTTCTTTTAATCTGTGTAAACCTCAAAAAAAGAAAACTCAATATAGTGCATTACCCCACATAAATATACAAAAATATAATATAATCACCCAGTGCTACCAACTAGAGATGAGCGAATCGAACATGGCGAAGTGGAATTCGTTTCGAATATTGGGAAATATTCGATTCGCGCCGAATCCGAAAATTAGCCAACTTCGGATGCACGAATCGAATTTTCCCAAAAATGGCGGCGACATGTGTGGCAACGGAGCGGGGATCTCTGGGAAGGCGCGCAGACAAGGCGCGCTGACCCATAATGCATTCATTCATGACATGTGATCGCATTAGCCAATCAGCAGCCAGCCAGCACTGTGTAATGGTGGAGCTATAAATTGCGGCCATCTTTACAATTCTCCATTAGCCTGCGGTCATTCAAGAGAGACAGACCTGTCTGTATTAGGGACAGAGTTAGGGCCAGAGAGACTTTAGGGCCACAGAATCGTTACTCAGGGACACAGAATTGTTACTCAGGGACACAGAATTGTTAATCAGGGACACAGAATTGTTACTCAGGGACACAGAATTGTTACTCAGGACAGACACAGAATTGTTACTGAGGGACAGACACAGAATTGTTACTGAGGGACACAGAATTGTTACTGAATTGGACACGGAATTGTTACTGAGGGACACGGAATTGTTACTCAGGGACACGGAATTGTTACTCAGGGACACGGAATTGTTACTGAGGGACACGGAATTGTTACTGAGGGACACGGAATTGTTACTGAGGGACACGGAATTGTTACTGAGGGACACAGAATTGTTACTGAGGGACACAGAATTGTTACTGAGGGACACAGAATTGTTACTGAGGGACACAGAATTGTTACTGAGGGACACAGAATTGTTACTGAGGGACACAGAATTGTTACTGAGGGACAGACACAGAATTGTTACTGAGGGACAGACACAGAATTGTTACTCAGGGACACAGAATTGTTACTCAGGGACACAGAATTGTTACTCAGGGACACAGAATTGTTACTCAGGGACACAGAATTGTTACTCAGGGACACAGAATTGTTACTCAGGGACACAGAATTGTTACTCAGGGACACAGAATTGTTACTGAGGGACACAGAATTGTTACTGAGGGACAGACACAGAATTGTTACTGAGGGACAGACACAGAATTGTTACTGAGGGACAGACACAGAATTGTTACTGAGTTACAGACACAGAATTGTTACTGAGGGACACAGAATTGTTACTGAGGGACACAGAATTGTTACTGAGGACACAGAATTGTTACTCAGGGACACAGAATTGTTACTCAGGGACACAGAATTGTTACTCAGGGACACAGAATTGTTACTCAGGGACACAGAATTGTTACTCAGGGACACAGAATTGTTACTCAGGAACACAGAATTGTTACTCAGGGACACAGAATTGTTACTCAGGGACACAGAATTGTTACTCAGGGACACAGAATTGTTGAATTAAAGAGTATGTCAGACAACACGCAGAGGAGTGGCAGAGGAGGCAATGTTTCAGGAGCGAGCAAACGTGGCAGCAGAGGAAGGGGTCGAGGCAGCACTAGTCGCAGGCAGAGGCCAGTGCTCCCGGTGTCATCCAGCGGTCGTGTCTCCACCGACAACCCTGCCGTCATCGATTGGTTGGCTCGGTCGTCTTCCTCTTCCCAGGTCACCTCTGACACCCTACAGCCAACGGTCGGTGGGTACGTCAGACACAACCGTTAGTTGGCATGGCCCGGGAGCAAGCCCACTGAAATCACGTGTCCTCTACCTGCCCCTGTCCTTTGGTGTTCCCTCACCAAGCGAAGTATCGCATGCTGTGGGCTCAGCCCCACTGTACAGTGAGGAAGAGCAACAGAGGGTGGTCAGGAACGGGGGGAGACATCCGCCTCTTCAGCAGCCAGGCGAAGAAGTAGTGGCGAGGAGAGAGTGGCTCGGTAGCCGGTCTAGAGACAGGTCTGTCTCCTGACCCACACGCAGCCGAGGGGGCTAGTAGTGAGGCGGAGACCCTAATTGATGATGATGAGGCTGATCGCACTTGGCAGCCTCGTCGTCATCTGCCAGGCCCGTAATCTGCCATGGGCCCCCGTACCGCCTCCTCATGCTGCTGCCAGGTCCAGAGTGTCTCATGGCTCCCTGTACGGCCTCCCATTGCTGCTGTCTCCATCGCCACACTCTGCCATGTGCCACTTTCAGGTCTCCTCACACTGCTGGTGGGTTCCATTTTGTCATAGGGTGCTGGCAGATTACGGGCCTCCCATTGCTGCTGCCAGGCCGTAATCTGCCATGGGCCCCCGTACCGACTCCTCATGCTGCTGCCAGGCCCCGTAATCTGTCATGGGCCCCTGTACCGCCTCCTCATGCTGCTGCCAGGCCCGTAATCTGTCATGGGTCCCTGTACGGCCTCCCATTGCTGCTGTTTTTACTGCTCCATCGCCACACTCTGCCATGTGCCACTTTTAGGTCTCCTCACACTGCTGGTGGGTTCCATTTTGTCATAGGGTGCTGGCAGATTACGGGCCTCCCATTGCTGCTGCCAGGCCCGTAATCTGCCATGGGCCCCCGTACCGACTCCTCATGCTGCTGCCAGGCCCGTAATCTGTCATGGGCCCTTTACCGCCTCCTCATGCTGCTGCCAGGTCCAGAGTGTGTCATGGGTTCCTGTACGGCCTCCCATTGCTGCTGTCTCCATCGCCACACTCTGCCATGTGCCACTTTCAGGTCTCCTCACACTGCTGGTGGGTTCCATTTTGTCATAGGGTGCTGGCAGATTACGGGCCTCCCATTGCTGCTGCCAGGCCCGTAATCTGCCATGGGCCCCCCGTACCGACTCCTCATGCTGTGACGTTGCAACAAGGTGGAATTCAACCCTACATATGTTAGACCGCCTTTACGAACAGCGAAAGGCCATCACCGATTTCTGATGTTACAAGCGGATAAAGGTACTCCCCTGTGTAACTTAGATGTCAGCCATTGGCAGCTCATGCGTGACACCTGCCGCTTGCTCAGGCCCTTTGAGGAGGCCACGCTATTCGTGAGTCGGCAGGACTATGGGATGAACGACGTCATTCCTCTGTTGCACGTCCTCTAACAAATGCTGTTAACAATGGCTGGTCAGGGTGCGGTAGACGTGGCGCACAGATCTCAACGCCACATGACCCCTGTGGGGGCAGGACAGGAAGAAGAGGAGGAGGTAGAGGAGGACATTGGTGCTCAGGAATTATTGAGTGAAATGGGTGGTTTTTCCACTCAGCGGACAGGAGTGGAGGAGCAGGAGCATCTGGTAGAGGAGGAGGAGACAGAGGACCCAAACGCACCGTGGCAGTATGCTGTGGAGATGGAGGCAGGGAGTCCCTCGCATTCCTTGGCACAAATGGCCCATAGCATGCTCGGTTGCTTGCGTAGCGACAGCCGAATAATAACCATCAGACAAAGGGATGACTTTTGGCTGTCCACCTTGTTGGACCCTCGCTACCGTTCAAAAATGGTGGCCTTTTTCACACCTGCTGAGAGGGAGGCCAAAATAAAGTACTATAAAAACCACCTATGTAGTCAGTTGGTCTCTGCCTTTCTGCGCCAACGTCCATCCTCAGACACTGTGGGCCCTGTGCGCTCGCGTTCCGCTGCCATGGCAGCAGGGGAGGGGTGGGGTGGTAGGAGCAGTGGCAGCTCCACCAGCAGCGGCTGCCTCAGTCTGCAGTCGATGATGAGTAGCTTTCTTCACCAGCGCAGTGAGGAAACTACTAACCAGCCACAGCAGCAGCAGCAGCAGCATCAGGTGGACCTGGAGCAGGACCTCAAACAACAGGCTTGGGCCTACTTGGACAGCACCCTGCCAACCGAGGTAGACAATCCCCTTGACTACTGGGCAACGAAACTTGACCTTTGGCCCCAACTAGCTGAATTTGCTCTTGAAAGGCTGTCATGCCTGGCCAGTAGCGTGGCATCGGAGCGCGTGTTTAGTGCGGCAGGAGGTATTGTAACTCCGCGGAGGACACGACTGTCCACCAAAGTGTGGAGAGACTCACGTTTGTGAAAATGAATCAGGCGTGGATTAGTCTGGATTTCAAACCACCAGTTCCTGACACAACTGACTAAATCCGCCATTAATCATGCCCCAAACATGTTATTATTTTTTAACATAGGCCTCTGTATGGCCTTCAATTTAAGCTGCTTACGCTTCGCCACTCTGCCATGGGCCCCTGTACCGCCTCCTCTTGCTGCTGCCAGGTCCAGAGTGTCTCATGGGTCCCTGTACGGCCTCCCATTGCTGCTGTCTCCATCGCCACACTCTGCCATGTGCCACTTTCAGGTCTCCTCACACTGCTGGTGGGTTCCATTTTGTCATAGGGTGCTGGCAGATTACGGGCCTCCCATTGCTGCTGCCAGGCCCGTAATCTGCCATGGGCCCCCGTACCGCCTCCTCATGCTGCTGCCAGGTCCAGAGTGTCTCATGGGTCCCTGTACGGCCTCCCATTGCTGCTGTCTCCATCGCCACACTCTGCCATGTGCCACTTTCAGGTCTCCTCACACTGCTGGTGGGTTCCATTTTGTCATAGGGTGCTGGCAGATTACGGCCTCCCATTGCTGCTGCCAGGCCCGTAATCTGCCATGGGCCCCCGTACCGCCTCCTCATGCTGCTGCCAGGTCCAGAGTGTCTCATGGGTCCCTGTACGGCCTCCCATTGCTGCTGTCTCCATCGCCACACTCTGCCATGTGCCACTTTCAGGTCTCCCCACACTGCTGGTGGGTTCCATTTTGTCATAGGGTGCTTTATGGCCTCCCATTGCTGCTGCCTCCACCGCCACACTGTGGCTCCACACTCTGGTTTTGGCCCCGTGACTGCCCAAATGAGTGAAGTGTGCGGTGATTCTAAGATCGACGGCACTCATCTGCATGTCATACTGACTGACAGTATTATTTCTCTTCCCCAGCAGACTCCAAGGGCATTTAAATTAAAGGTACACTCATCTCTACTACCAACGTGTCACCCCACTTGGTGTCCACGTCTAAATGGCTATATTAAACACCCTTACCCTATCAAAACTTGTAAATAACTTTCAATCTCATACTGGTCCAAAAACAACCGTGCTACAATCTGTCCTTTTCTATTCTTCAATTTTACCTTCAAAAGAAGCAAATAATAGTGCAATATCCTTTTGGATACCAAAAAGTGCTTCCCTTATATTCACTATATAAGTGTAAATGTGAAATGCCCTCCTTATCACCTTACACACCAGCATCTTACCGGACTAAACACTTTCATAAACGTAAATGGCGCTCCTCATTCGATCATCCTGCTCTGTTCACTCTCCATATGGCAGCATTGTAAGGGTCAAAACAAAGTCTTTATAGTGTAGTAAGTCATAATAAAGTGGGTTTACTTTAATAAAATTATGCTTACAATAAAACTAATGTAAAATTGAATTTAAGATTGATCAGTTCATTACATGTACTACCCCTTTTGTGACCTATTTGTTAGAATGTCCATGCAAATTTCAATACGTAGGGAGAACAACCAGGCCGCTCTATAAAAGACTTAGAGAACATGTCTCTAATATAAAGAAGGGAAAGAAGAACCATAACTTTTACAGGCATTTTAGAGATGTCCAAAAATGTGACCCAACGCAGTTACGTTTCTGTGATATAGATAGTGGAGGGACACTGGAGAGGAAGTAACAAAATTATAGAAATCTCTAAAAATTAAATATTTTGTTTTTTCCAACTTGATTCTTTAAAACCTAAAGGTCTTAATGTATATTTGGACATTAATTGTTTTATTTCAGATACAGAAAACCTTTTATTAAGGTAATATATTCTAATATTTTTATATTTATTGGTATATAAAAAAAATTGGGTTTCCCTTGTTCCATCTTCTGTACCCAGTTTTGGAATATTGGGCAAATGTGTATTCATATTCCAGATGGATTTGTAGGCAGTAGAGATGATTCCACTTGGATAACGAGCTCCATCAGTTTTCATATTTATTTTCATTTTATTTTATTTTTGTTCTTGGTATTTAATATAGATTTTAGTGAACTGGGAGTTTTTGACTTTTGCTGGATTAGAGATATTTTAATTGTGGCCTGACGACGTCACTGATGATGATACGTGTAGGGAGGAGCTAGAGCGGTTGACGTCAGCATGCACCGTAATGTGGTGGCCATTTTATAGGTTTGAAACATATCATCCATCTTTTTGGTGACTTGCTGTTTTATCAATTACTTTGATGTATGTATTATGTTATGCTTTGGGGCAATAAATCTTTCTTAATTTACTACACTGAGGATTTTATTGTTTTTTGAACGGGTTTGTCCTCTATGAGGATAAATCTTTAATGCAGGTTTATTTTCTCTGTTTAATTTTTCGAGTTAAAGTTTGGAGCTCTACCAGTGTCTGGATCATAGCCAATTTTTGGAATTATCCAACGGGTGTTTTATCCATCTACCATTGGGGGCCAGTTTGATCATTTTGACGTTAAGTGTCCAGGTCCATGGCATGCGTTTGGATTCTGTATTGCGCATTTTGACCCACCCGTAACCAGGAGTAAATTTTTTGGGTGTTGGTGGATTTTCTTCATCTTCTTGATCAAATTTGAAGCATTCATGACAACATTGATGTCCCATTAAAGGGGCTTATTCTATGTTATATCTCCTTCGCATGTGTATTGAACTTTTCATTTACTCCATGTATTTGCACAAATTTTTTGGTTATATGTAGTGCCGCACTTTTATGTTTTAATATGCGTTATTTTGTGCACCTGTGCTGCACTGTAGCAGTATTTCTGTTATAGGGCGGTCATGAAGCAGTTACAGAAGCGGTTTGCGTTACGGCGTTGCATTATTTTAACTGACAATTGCGCGGTCATGCAACGCTGCACCCAAATTAAATGTACACCCTTTTTTTCCCACGAATTGACCTTTCTTCCAGTGGTATTTGATCGCCTGTGCGGTTTTTTATTTTTTGCGCTATAAAAAAAAGTCAGACAATTTTGAGATAAACAATATTTTGGACTTTTTGCTATAAAATATGTCCAGTAAAAAAATGTCAATCAAAATTCAGCATAAATTTAGACCAAAATGTATTCTGCGACATGTCTTTGCTATAAAAAAAAATCCCAATAAGTGTAAATTAATTGATTTACTTAAAAGTAAATTAAAAGTAATAGCATTTACAAATGGTGGTATAGATACTGGATTTTATTTTATATACTAATAATGGCGACAATCAGCGACTTATAGCGGGAATGTGGCGGACATTATGACACTGAGGAGGGAACTGACTTGGTGTCACCGACATCCCCAGTGACACCAATACAGTGATCAGTGCAAAAAAAAAGCACTGACACCATACTAATGGGACTGAGGAGGAAGGGGTTAACATTTGAAGGCAATCAAAGGGTTAACTGTGTGATGGGAGTGTTTAACTAGGGGGCGGGGTGTGCTTCACTGTAAGCACACTGATTGGCATGGCTGTGCTCAGCCATCCCGATTAGTGTACCCTAACTGACAGGGAGGAGGGCTGCATTGTAAACATTGTAGCACCTAGTGACAAAGCTCATTGTGGTCAATATATGCTTCAGGACAACA